ATAGTTTGCTTTTCTTTTGTTTGTTTTATTATAAACCTATCCATAGATCATTCTTAAGCTTTAGTAGATACTTCAATTTTTGTTTCTTTTTACGTTTTTCACGTCCAGATTCATATTTTCTTATTCGAGGAGACATACTAAAGTCTAAAGTAGTAAAGTATAAAAAAGGAGAGGAAACACCTAATTTTTAGATGTCTTCTTCATTTGTGATATTACAGATCTGTAAATTCCTTGATTTCCTTCTCAGTTCTTAGTTTTCGATTCTGAACAAATCAAATACAATGCACCTGTAAAAATATAAATAAATATGAAAAAAATTACTAAAAACCAAAGAGGTAAAAACCATTATCAACATAAAATAGAGAAAATCATAAAGAGGATAAAGTGTTAATCCTTCATATTGATTTCCAGGTTTCTGAAAAAGTGAAAAACCAAGAATTTTAGGATTTTCTGAAAACCAAAGAGTTATCACTATTCATTGTTCTACTGTTCACGAGCCAAGGCCTGTCGAGAGAATCAAAACCAAAGTTTTCAACTATCAAGAACTCAAGTTTATGTGAGATATTCTAAAAAACTATTTTGATTTTAAAGTACCTTTTTTTGATTCTGAATTGATTCTTGAAAAGACCGATTCAACGATTCTGATTTTGATTTTTGATGCCACCTGGTGCAGGTTCTAAAATCAGATTCTGATTATCGAACTCTTTGGGATCGAACTCCGATTAACTTCTAGTTCTAAGTGGAAGTGAGACTGTGAGTTTGTGAGAGAAATAGAGAATCAGAGAGGATACAGAAATCAGAGAATGGAGAGCGAAAACAAGAATGAAGAAAACAGAGAAGGAAGAACCGTAATTATTGGACTCATTGGGATTGGATTTTGAGACTGTTGCGTTGCAGGATACGAAAGGGCTTCCTTGATTTTTGCTAATATCGAGAGAATAGAGGGGAGATTGAAGATCGATTGATTGCCTCTTTTTTTTTCCCGCTCCTTGATTCTGTGAGTGTTGGCAGTTCCTGAATTCCCCAATCTATTTTCCCTTGGTTGGGCTAACTAGTATTAAAGGATTAAAAAAATTTGGGGCCCCATAAAATTATAGGCCCTGTGCAGACACACCAATTGTACACCTGTAATATTCGGCCCTGGTTCGAGTGTCTATCTGATTCCTAACTACATATGACTTTGTGTATTGTTTGAAAAACCATGGGGGTAGCCCATGGAAATTTCTTGTAAGACCATGGGGATAACTCATGGAATTACAAGGAAAAGACCATGGGGGTAGCCCATGGAATTGCAAGGAAAAGACCATGGGGGTAGCCCATTTGAAGTTGCTTGTAAGACCATGGGGTAGCCCATGACATTGCAAGGAAAAGACCATGGGGGTAGCCCATGACACTTACTTGTAAGACCATGCGGGTAGCCCATAACATTTCAAGGAAAAGACCATGCTGGTAGCTCATGTGATTGCGAGGCATTTCCTACAAGTTAGTTGAGGCTTGATAATCCTTGCGGGTTGCGGGAAAGGAGAGTCCTAGAAAGAGAGTCGAGGAAGTGTAGTATTTTGCATATGGCTAGTTGTATGCATATTAGTGAGGAGTATAATGGAGTGATTTTAAGTGACTTGGGAATCTTGGAATAGTCCTTCGAATGAGTTTGGATAAGTGTAGAAGGTAGTATTGGGCCCGTACTATTGAAATCACAAGATCCATACTTGGGTCAAGGAAGTGTTACAGGAATACCAAGAAACTTGTAGGTAGGTATGCATAGTATGGGTTGGCATTATGCATTAACTTTGATGTGTTCACATTATATTTCAAATTCAGGATGGAAACCTTTCATGTTGGTGATTCACGTCTGAGTGAGAGGGATATTTGCGACATAATTACCGTAGAGATTTCATGGTTTGCTAGGGAGGTTTGGTCAGATATGATCAGTACTCTTAGAGACGGGATGGTTTTGGTGTTGGACGAGCGGATTAGGATTCTATAGGCCGAGTTGGAGGCTGGTCGGCCATGGGGTCATATGGTTACCTTCAGGGAGTTTGATATTGTTTCTTTGGGATTACGGAGCCAATCATAAGTACACGTTGGATTGACGATACAGAGAGTGTCTTTCGCGCCAGCTTTTGTCCCGTGGAGGCCAATGTAAAATTTGTAGAGTGTCTTCTGCGTGTCAGAGCTAGAGATTGGTGGTGCGAGGTCATTTTGGGCCTCGAACCAGATGCGGTCAAGTCCATGTCATGGGAGGATTTTGTCACCAAATTGAAGAAGGAGTTTGTGCTAGTGATTGAGGTTTAACAGTTGGCCTGAGAGTTTTTGGCAATTGAGCAGACTATAGAGACAATGGAGGAGATCACCGCCAAGTTCAAAGAAAGAGCATTGATTTTCCTTCAGTATGCTACAACGGAGAAGCTGAGGATGACTCGCTACCATGATATGTTTTGAACAGAAATCCAAGAGCACGTGAGCATCTCGAGTCATAAGACTCTTTCCGGTTTAGTTGGAAGAGAGGGAGAGAGAGAGAAAGAGAGAGAGAAATGGATAGATTGATATATATATATATATATATATATATATATATATATATATATATATATATATATATATAGAGAGAGAGAGAGAGAGAGAGAGAGAGAGTTGGAGTAAGAGTTGGAGATCCGTCAATGGAAAAGGATACATGATCAGGTTCATTCATCGACATCAACAGTCAAGAAGGATGAGGTGACTAAGTTTCGGTAAGGAGATTGAGAAACTTACAGATCTTACGGTAGGTGTCGCCAGATTCATCGGGGCACTTGTTGTGTGTCAGTTTTGAGATATTTCAGATACGGTCAAGAGGGGCTTCTTTTACAGTCATCCAGGCCATGCTAATTTTGATTATCCTTTGAGAGCGGAGGGGTGATTTTGGATCCAACACCTTTTAGCTTGGAAGTTACCAGATGGATGGCATGGGACGACTGGAGTTCCAAGGACAGGGGTATGAGCTATCAGCTCTTCATCTCGATCGGATGTGACATTGTTGATGTCATCAGTATCTTGTTGTTTATGTTTTCGTTGTTTTAGTTGTTAACATGGATGATCTGTTGAATGGTATTTTTTTAATCAACTATGGTTTTGTTTAGATTGATTATTTATGAATGGATTGCTTGTTGATTGTGGTGTTGTAGATGTGTGTTGGAACTCTTGGATTTCGGTTTGAAGGATTCGGGTTCTCTTATGCCTTTGATGTCAGGTATGGTTATTAGGAACCAAGTGGTGCAGTTATTGGAATGACTCAAAATTTTGAATGGTTATGAAGTCGTTGGAGTCTAGTCAATTTCAAGTGGGGGAGAATCGCTTTATCATACAAAAGTGATTGTAAGACTATGGGTGGACCATATCATTCACTTGGGTTGAAATGACTATGTTGAAGCATGAAGTGACCCTCTACAGCTAAGAAGTACCGAATTCCTGACTTGATGTTGTGGTAGTAGTTATTGCTAAGAAGACTTGGGAGTTATCACTAAAGACCTGATACCGGTGTGGAGAAGAACGACCCGAAAAGTAATTTACTTTGTCTATTGTAATCATATATGTCACAAAAGTAATGTTCACCTTTTCTGACATTGAGTAGTCATCTGTGTCATGTCAGTCAAAATATAGCAAGTATGGCCATCTTACTTGGGAGCATTTTATTGTTTTTGATGTAACTTGTTCAGCTATTTATAGGTGATCATGTTGATCGATCTAGAACCCACTTCTTCAAGACTTTCCCTGTATTACACTTTATTGAATACAAGTCTTCATTATCTTCATTTGTTGCTTATGTTGTTCATCACTTACTAACTCGAGTTCGAATGCAAACCTTGTTACGATTCAACTAAGTATGTGTGCTTATATTTATTGATTAATCTTGCTGTTATATCTTTCCTGATTATTCAGTATTTTTCGTTATTATTGAGCTTATCAAAAGATCCACTGAGATTAACTTATATTTCCGCAAATCAATCCTGAAGTTATTCTATCAACAGACTCGTCGGTCGTGTTAGGTTGTATCCTTTGCTTAGTTATTCCTAGGGTTAGTCCTGAGTGATGCTAGAACAGATTGGTTATGTAGGCTAGTTTAGTCTTTGTTTGTTGGGTTATTTGTTTGGGGTTTGTTCTTGCGTCTTGATAAGAATTTGTCGGCATATGATGGTTAGTCGTGGATCTTGTTATGTAGTTATCGGTGAATTATTGATCAGCATGTTCGTTAGTTAGGTTGTGTATGGTACTCGTTCATCATCGGTTCATGTGATTCTCGCTATGGACCGAGATGACATTTGTTCCCGAAGGTGATTGATTGCTTTAGAATGTTAGCTCTAGAGCTTCAGTGGATGAAAATTTGATTCTTGAGAGTTTTACTCATGGATGGATTATGCAACTGTACGTGAAGACTTTATGATTGTATATTGTAGACTCTAGTGAATAGAGTTCTGAAAACTCATACACAAGGAAGTGGTTTAGAAACCTAAATGTGACTTGGAGGTTGTTAAGAAGAAATTTGTATTGGTAGATTTCGAGGACGAAATCTACTTCAAGTGGGAGAGAGGTGTAACGTCTCGTTTCCACTTAATGATTTCAAAATATTATTAATAAATAATAACAGACATTTGTATAATTAAAACCTAAATGTTGTAGGTTTGAAAAATGAAGTAACTAAATAAAAGACATTATAAAAATGCTAATAATAATAATAATAATAATAATAACTTATTTATTTAATATAAATAGCATATATTTAGTCCAGGGGTTAGATTATAATTTGTAGAACTCGTTTGATCATAAAATCTCAGATTATGGTGAAAAGCATTAACATACCAAACCCTGGGGACCTTATAGTCAACTTTCCAAATTTGAGTTGTCACCTTCTTCCCTAACCCGATGCATATACTCTAACCACATTTTGCTTCATTTGAACCTACAAATCATGTCATTCTCGAAAGCCATTTGATTCCATTTCCTAAATAACATCTAGGCACACATTATGAGTCATACTCTCTCATCCCTTGAGCCTCAAAATTGATGAAAACGAGAGAAGGAGAGGGAGGCTACCACCACCAAGATCTCATCGGATTTTGCTAAATACCACCACTAGTCGTTGTCGGAGCTTCGTTACAGGGATGTAACCTCCAGAAAATATGGAGATGAGAATGTAGGGAGAAGGAGTGAGAGTGGGTGAGTTGTACCGACTGTACAATCTAACTCAGACGGGAAGGTGGTGGAGGCGAGATTTAGGTGCGAAGAAGGACTAAAAGGGATCCACAACTTCAACCCCCATGCATATGGAAAATGGTTCGCAGAAATGTAGTCGGAGAAAGGGGTGATGGTCATCGGAGGCCATGCCGTTGTCGGAGATGATGTTGTCACCGGAAATGGAAACCTTGCCAGAAAGAGAGTGTTGCCGACTGCGGAGGGTATTGGGCGGTGCCTAGGCAAGTATGGCAACCTCTTGACCTAACTGACCACATATTTATGACCACATATTTAAGATTTGGGCTTTTAATTGTTGGGTGGATTCAATTAATGTTTTGGGCTAATTAACACCGGGTTTAATTGCAAAATAAACATAATATAAGGTAAAGTCTTATTTTATATATATATATATATATATATATATATATATATATATATATATATATATATATAAAAGTGCCTGGTGAATAGGACTTCCCTGCCATTGGTTGGATTTTTTTATTATTTTTTATTTTTTAATCTGTTCTGTTCTTGGTAACGTGTCTTCAGCTGCTTTTTTCTTTTACTACGTGTCCTACACCGCCACCCTCATCCAATAGATACAAACCGATTTCTCTTGATACAGTTTATGTCGATGCTTCCAATCACTGCCTCTCCAAATATTCACTCGGCTGCTTCCGCACAGTCTTAACCTTCTCTTTTTGTAAACCGATGAAGCTTCCATCTTCGATTGGAGGTCGTCGACCTATCCTTATGTCGACTGGGCGTCTTCCTTTCGGTTTAGGGCTTTAGGAAGAGGGCAGCACTCGAAGGCGGTGGTGCGGACCATCGACGACAATTAAAAGACGGTTTTTTTTTCCACTGATTTATTCCTTTCCCTGTTAATCCTTTCCAATTTCTCCATCTACAAGCGCTATTGAACCTTAACCCCTTTCTTTCAATCGATTTTGCAAATACAGATCACCATGCCTTTCTTCGGTGGATATTATCCTAATTTACTTATTTTCCCAATATGTCCTTAGCCTCGAAATGACTAATTTTGTTGATCGTCTGTGCTTCGGATTTCTGTTTTGCTGTAACAGACACACACACGACACAAACATGCCATCATGTCTAGGCCAGACGAGCAGAAGGCCGCCGATTGTGGCTCATCTTCTGTGGCTGCGACCCCTCGATCATGGAATTCTCGCTGTCGTCTGTAGCCTCCGATTCCTGTGTGGAGAACTTCTTGGAATAACCAGATCAGCACCTCTCGACGAAATTTCTTTGGCTTTGGCATGATTAACAGACAAGTGAGTTTTTTCTCAATTTCATAATTTCTTTTTGTGTTTTTAGATCTTATTGACTTTAATTTCACCTTTGCATGAGTTTATTTGGATCTGACCCTTGATATTAGAATAGGAATTCGCATTATGAAATATAACTTTATGTTATTTGTGGTTTTTTAGTTTTGAACACCAACTGGTCAACAAAAATCCTCAATGAAAAAATCTGATGAAGACTGTTTTTCTACTTGGTAAACTATGTCATCAATCTCTTCTTCTTAGATTACACTTTTATTTGTTACAGGATGGTAAATACATAAGCACCTCTCGTGTTCTTTTTTTTCTGTTGGTTTGATCTACCATCTTCCTACCTGATTGTTAATTATGTTGTATATGTTTGTACTCAGAGATAGTGAAAGATGTTGATTATTCTCTGTAATGGACTACAACAACAATCACAGGTACGTGCAAACTCTATGCTCTGCTTCTTACAGTAATTTTTTTTTTTTTGATAAAAGTTAGAAATTGCAACCATTGGTTAATGGTGATAGAATATTGATCAAATACATAATCAATTTCACCAATTAATTGGGAAGAATATGTAACTGAGATAGCAGCTGACATTATGAAAGAGCAGAGCCCTAAAAGGTCTATACCTTCTATCTTTATACATATTGTACGCTGTGTATATGCTGTCATTGTATCTTTTTTTATGTGTATATGTTTATAGGTTGTTCCAGGTTTGGAGAAAGTTGTATGAGTTACTTCTAAATTGTATCCTTCCTGAAGTTATATTGAAGGTTAGAATTGATATTTCTTTTTCTTTTTTAGGAACATAGGATGTGCCTTAGACATAAAGCCACATTTGACATTGAAGGTACTTTTTTTTAAACGCTTTTGAGTTTTATAATAATTTATAGTGATTGTTATTAACCATGCATGCAGTAGACTGAATTGGTGCATTGAGTAAGCTTCTATCTTTTATACCTTATTGATGTCATAGCTCATGATGGTTGTTGTGTTTATAGTAAAAAAATGGAAAGTAGTTTCTGGTGGACACTCTTTTTTAAGTTATGTTGTATTTTCGTGGATTTATATCTTTTGGGGATATGTAAGTTCAACCCTAGAACTTCCAGGAAACAAGAAATGTTGCACCTTCCAAGGAAAAAGATTGATGTTTTGTTTTTCACTTGCTGGAATGACATCTCTTTGCTCTCATGGTGTCTTTGGTGATGGTGTGAAGTAAAGAAGTCGCGCCACAAAAAGATCACTGGTTTTCAGGTGAAAATTAAGAGTTGATATAACGCCTTTTGGTTGTGTCATGTTGAAATGACCAAAATACCCTTTACAGTTTGCTCCAGGTACTGCATCCGAAGTGCTAATCACTTTTGAAAAACACGATTTTTTTTATCCGGTTTGACGGATGGGTCATGGGTCAACCGATTGAACCACCGGACCAACCCGATTTTACTGTTGAAATTTTTTCAACACTTTTGAACTTTTGAGGGTTTTACATATTAATTTTTGTGGATTTGTGGGAGATCATCGCAGGTTTAGACTGGTGAAGGACACATTAAGACATGTCAAATACTGATAATGCTGTGGATCCTGGATATAACTTCTTTTTTTCCATTATAATAAGTATTCTATTTTCAATCTTTTAATTCATTACCATATATGATTGCTTTCTCTCTCCATTTAATACATTTAATTGAAGCTACATTGAAAAAGTCTTTGTTGATGAAATTCACAAGCTGATGATAGTTTTTATTTTGTGGGGTGATGATATCTTTAGTAATTCCATCTTGCTGTTATGTTTTTGATTTTGCAGCCAAACAAAAGATGCTCTTAAGATACTAAAGAAGAAGCTTGGGTGGTGAAATTGCCAGATTTTGTAATTGAATAACCTTCTTAGGTTTTTACTGTAATACATCAATGAATATGGATCATGAGTACGTTACCATTGTTTTATTTGGGTTTTTTTGGATGATTGTTTTATTGGGGTGCTGATATTTTGAGCCTCCTTATTTGATTTCAAAGCAAACGGTTGGATTGAAATCTAACCCCCGCAAAGCGGGATACTTCCCTAGTTAATTGTAAATGAGAACTAAGTCTATTGGTTAAGGTTGTTTATTTTATCTAGTGAACGATAATATTTATGTGATTATGGTTTGGTTAAATTAATTAAAGGTAATTAAATTAATTTGAATTATATGTATTAATAAATTCGTTTAGACATGAGGCTCAAATTGATTATTTTGCGGTTAAAATATTAGCGACATTTACTTATCATACTTTAATGTGCGTGACTTTAGAAGTTCATCATTGTCAGACCCCGGCCGTCGGCGGAAACACCGGGCAGTGTAACGTCATTTCTTGTATCATAGTTATCAACTTCCTGAAAACACATGCATTTTAAAATACGTCAACATAAAGTTGGTGAGTTCACATGTTTTGACTCCATATAAAATAACACTTTTTCTCAAGTTCAAAAGTATAGTTTTGAAAGTATCATTTGGACTCTCCAACATTATATATATATATATATATATATATATATATATATATATATATATATATATATATATATATATAATATATATATATTTAGGTATAATGGTTTACTTATTAAATAAGTGATATACCTATAAGTTTCACATATTATGAATAAATGATTGTAATCCCATACAAACTAAGGTTGCTACATATAAATCTTATTTCAATTCTATACGAGTAAAACCGCTACGTATAAATCTTATTTCAATTCTATACGAGTAAAACCGCTACGTATAAATCTATTTCAATTCTATACGAGTAAAACCGCTACATATAAATATATTTCAATTCTATACGAGTAAGTGTGCTAGGTATAATTGTCTACTTAATGAGCAAGTAGTATACCTACAAGTTCCTTGTACTTAGAGTATAAGTCTTTGGGAAACTTATACTTAACATTCATACTTGTATATCGATAAAGTATAATGGTTCTAAAGTTGTGCTACCACGAGTCCGTAACCGCTGCTAGACATACAAACCTCTGATTAAATGATATCCCACCAATGGTTCCTCCATTGGTGCTACAATAAAACCGCCATTGGTGCCATAAAGGATTCCACCAAGGTAAATACTTCCCCCGTACGCTTCATCGACGCTGGGTCCATAACAATCAATAGGAAAGTTCGTCACCCGCAGACCGTTGGGTTGTAGCTAGCAACCACGGGTGGGGTCGTCAACCCGCATAGATCTATAGTCCACCGTAAAACCGATTGGGTTGTAGCCAACAACCACGGATGGGGCGTTAACCCACATAGATCCATACACATCTTCCTCGCTCACACGGGATTAACGGTTACAGGTCAGAGGATTTCCACTAAGATTCCCAATCTTATTTGATGAATGAGGTAGCTCATGTAGACTTTGTCGGCTTCCTATAACTCTAACAACAAAGCATATTCGTGTCTAAAACCCTAAGTTACTAGACTATGCTTTTAAACATTACTCCTAAATTCATAATACTTTAGGCAGTACAACAGCTATAACTTGAGGAAAAACCAGGTTTTATCTTAACATAAAACCAATAATAACAACATATAACATACGAAGTTTTATCTTGACATAAAACCGATAATAACAACATATAACGTTCCTAGTTTTATCTTGACATAAAACCAACAATAACGACGTATATATCAATTAACATATAGAACTTCCGAGTATAACTCTGGAACTATATCGCTCACAACATATATATAGAATCCTAAGTATAACTCAAGATCTACATTAGTATACTTCTATAATAATAGCATGCTAACAACTTTACAATAGTTGTATATTTTCAAAATATCAGATACAAAACAACTATATCCCGGTTAATATAACTATCTATCTTGATACAGATATACTATCATATAGACATAATATTAACTTATATATAATACTTAGCATGCGTTTTCCCCCGAAAACATTAAAAAGTGGGGCCGTGAAACTCACCCTAGTAGCGTGATTATATGTAATCTAAGCAGAAATGGTGAGTGGTTCGCGATCATCGGGCTCGGGATGCAAGATGGCTTCAGCAAAGGAGAGAGGAGAAAGAAGTTCAGGTGTAAGAATAGATGAGGTCGAACATGCTATTTATAGGAAGATTTTTGGCCTCTCACGTCGTGAGCCATATAGTCTCACGTCGTGAGCCATGGCTGGTCACCCCGTAGACTTGCCATTTGCGTCCCTAGCTTCGGAAGGTGGCCATGTGACTCCTCATGTCGTGAGATATCCTTGCTCACGTCGTGAGCTTAGAACTTATCCCTTCGTAGCCTCGTCACGCACCTTCTAGGTCCGAAATGTGGCAATTTGACTCCTCACGTCGTGAGTTTCTATGCTCACGTCGTGAGCTCAGTCAGATTAGGGTTTCTGACAGTTGAATCTTCGGATGGTCGTAACTTTCACATACGAACTCCGTTTTTGACGTTCTTTATATCCACGCGTAGGTATTTACGAGTACTACAACTCTCTTTTAGACTCCAATAGCTAATTCTAAGTCTTTTAATTCCTCTTATTATAGAGATTTATAGTGTTCGGTTTATCATAACTTCTTCATGCGAAGTCAGATTTAGACGTTTTCTATATTTTTGGAATAGTATGGACGTATACTTTGAGTTGTATCATAAAGAAAGTTCATATTTGTATTAGAATTTAACATGAACTACATAGTACATTTATCACATTACTAGTTTAACAAAATCACATTACATGATTGGTATAATCACATGTGATTGTTATTGACCTATTTTGACTAGTGTTACAATCATTTCCAGTATCATGATGAAAGTGAATAAAAATATATTATGAAATATTAATAAATAATATTTGAAATATTGGCTAAGTGAGGTTTATTAAATATAGTTGTAGGTGCTCAAAGAGATGGGAATTTTTCTTAGGCACTCTAGTGGTTTTACTTTGTGTTTCCTGTTCAGGTGAGTCACTATGCCATATATCTAATTGTATATCCTATGTATGTTAGGATAGATGTACTATTAGATTACAAGCCCGCTAGTATTCTAGGAAGATTCCTTGTTATGCATGCATTGTGTAGGACACTTGGTGTCACAGTATGCTAAAATCATAGGGTCTTGCCTGTTGGTCGTATGGTACTGTTAGGAGTTATGATTGGTTAGGATAATTGGGAAAGGCAGGTTATGAATATTATGTTTGTTCGACTAGCAAAGGACTCCATTGATAAGTGGTCAAGGGCAGGGTAACTAGGGAATGCTAGTTTCCAAGGAAATGTACTCTGTTAGTTTATATTATGAGTTTATGCTATGTATTTAAATGGTACTGATAGCCTGGATGCTATGTAGTTTAAGTTGGATAGCTTGAGAACACTTGGTCTAATGGCTGATTGTGATATTCTTGTTTGATTGTTTGCTCTTAGTTGGATTATCCGTTTGTTTGTCTATGTGATTCCAGGCTACATATAACTTTATGTATTGTTTGACAGACCATCGGGGTAGCTCATGGAATTACAAGGAAAAGAACATTTGGGTAGCCCATGATACTTGCTTGTAACACCATGGGGCTGCCCATAGCATTGTAAGGAAAAGACCACAGGGGTAGCCCATGGCGCTTTCTTGTATGATCATGGGGGTAGCCCACGACATTGTAAGGAAAAGGCCATGGGGGTAGCCCATGACACTTTCTTGTAAGACCATGCGGGTAGCCCATGACATTTCAAGGAAAAGACCATGCGTGTAGCTCTTGGATTTCAAGGAAATGACCATGGGTGTAACCCATGGCACTTGCTTGTAAGACCATCGGGGTAGTCCAATGCATTATAGGGAAAGACCATTGGGGTAGCACATAACTAGATGTAAGACTATGATTCGACCCATAGAATTCACCCGAGGTTGGAGCAGACCCGTTACTTCATGTATGATTGTTACGTATGTTTATGTGGATATGAGATCTGATTGTTCGGCGCTAGATCTGAGCTCTTGTGTGGATGCGTTGTGTGTATGATGAAATATATGGCATACTGAGGAACTCACTAAGCTTTATTCTTATAGATGTGGATTAAACATTTTTGTAGGTCATTCGTGAGGAGAGCTCGACGGAACTATACACATGCATCGAAGATATTCGTTTCTACGGTTTTTTAAACATAACTCTAATAATGTATGTTTCCAACCAAATGAATGTTACTTAATGGTTTTTGAAACAAAGGTTTTAACTTGTTATTATATTTTATATTTGAAAAAATCTCTGGAAATTTTCGGGACGTTACACACCCTACACACAATTTCGTCAACACAGGTCTATGTGTACTTACGACTTACACGCCATTTCATGAACACGGGTCTATGTGTACTTACGGCCTACAAACCGTTCCGTCAACATGGGTCTATGTGTACCTTACAACATACACGTTAATTTCGTCGACACGCTGTCCTATAGGCTCCCACCCTCTTTCACCGTTCCACTATCATCCCCTAACTAAACATTTAATTACAACAAATACGCACATAAAGAGTACACTGTAGATTCTACTAATACATGGACAACTATACTTTCTATTATACTAGTTTACACTTAAGCACATACAGACTAATCTATCATCTCTACTCTATTAGTTTTCTATCCTAACATGAATGGACATGCATTATAATACATATTATACTGAGATAACTCCCCTAGACGAATCCGATGATTGACAGATATCCCTCCAACGTAACGGGTAATGCGTCTAGCTGATATTAACCTAGAATACTATAACTTATTAGTTATTATGACAATCTGAAAATGAAAGCTTTCTCCATCAGCAATCCCAATGAATACCGAGAGTTTTATCAAATAAGGATTAGCCAGTCGGACAGTTGGGAGGCATGATCATTTTGGCGTATAGCATTTCTGAAATTCGATAACTAGGCCAACGTGACCATTCTAGACACTTCTCCCGTAAGTTTTGGATCTATATGCTCAATAATAATTATTGAGTGATATTACTAATAACATATGATCCTATAGGTTCACACATTTATAAAGTTGGCATATTTTGTATATTTATTATTAATATGATTATTAATAAATAATATCTATAGGTTACCATTTTATCGATTCGATCGGTGCGGAAGATATTACCAAGAAGATAATT